AATCAAAATTTACGCGAGTTCTTTCATTTGCGCTGACTTCGAAGATTCATTGAACAAAGAAAACTCTTTAGAAACTCCAATCTCTCATAGGGAGGCAAGAAGTAATCAATCAAGACCGACACAGGCTGGTACTATCCTAAACTGATATGCGTCTGAGACCCCCACCATTTACGATTTGAAGAATGTTTATATTAACATTCCTAATCTCTCTATGAAGGTCTCTGTACAAGAAAAGAATGAACTTATTTTCACCTTATAGCACATAGACAAAATGGCTACTAGTATGCCCATAGACACCTCTGTAAAATGACATGTTTAGGCCTATGAAATCAATTCCTTTCGGCCCAATAGTTCTGACAGTGGACAACGCTGGACATCGTGATTGACCATGGATTACATCAGTGTGTCAATTTTTTTAAAAAAAATACTGTTTTTTTTCCAAATAAAGGATTTTTTCAACAGTCTGGACTTTTTATTTACAATTGTATTTAACCCTTTAGTGAATGGGTAGGGGTACAAGTACCCCTTACTCATTCCCAAGGGGGGCCGCATTTGGATGCCCCTTTATAAAAGGGGTACCCAGATGTGAATAAGCCCCCCTGCCCACAGACCCCCACAATCAATGACCCAGGCCCTTGTCCCCATCGGCATGTGGCAAGGTGCTTTTCCGGGCGACCCTGGAAAAAGCACCCTTCCAGTGCCGAGGGCATGTAGCCTGGTATGGGAGGAGGGGGCGCTTCGCTCGTCCCCCCATCCTTTCTGGCCCTGCCAGGCCTATGCTCGGATCAAGGGTCTGGTATGGAAGTTTAGGAGGGGGTGGGGTTCCTCCTTAAAATTCCTACCTGACCGTAAGGGCCTGCAATGACTTTAGGGGGAACCCCACACACTTCTTTTTTTTAGTTTTTTTACAAGGGGTCCCTCCTCAATATTCCTACCATACCTTAAGGGTCTGGTATGACTTTGAGGGGGGAACCCCACACACTTTTTTTGTTTCTTTTACATGGGGTCCCTCCTAAATATTCCTACCAGACCTTAAGGGTCTGGTATGACTTTTAGGGGGAACAACATGCTTTAAAAAAACAATTTGGTACCTCCTAACATTCCTATCAGACCTAAATGGTCTGTTATTGTTTGGGAGGGGGAACTGCACGTTTTAAAAAAAATTAAAAAAAGAATCACTTTTTTTTCTTTAGAAATGTCAGTTTTGCTGCAGCAGGTTCTATACATCGTACAGATGTGCCACTTTACAGGCAGGTTAAGGGGACCCCCCAGGCACGATATTTAAGGGAATTTGTCATTATAATTGTTACCCTTTAAGTGATGTTAAAACCACTGTTTTAAAACAGTGATGTTAAAACTGTATTTTTGAAAGTTGTTAGGTAGTCTACTTTAATCTGGATTATGGGGAACTGGAATTATTGATTATGGAGAACTGGAATTATTACGGTGTTATCACTTGTAAATCTGATTTTAGGGAAGAAAGCAAACATAAAACACATGCAAAAAAATGCAGATATTCCAAAAGTATTTCCAAATCAAGAAAACTGGAGAATCTAATAAGAGTTGAGGATGGGTATAAAAATCCATTATCCCAAATTAAACAGAACAATTGGTTATTGTCTTTCTGGAGTTGAAACACTATTCTTTAAGTGGGGCATGGCAGACTTGCTTGCGTATCCAGTTTCTCTAATAGCATTGCAGACAACTCAAATATCATGTTTGCATCTCATTTTGTGCCAGGATTCTCAAAATGAATATTACTTTCATTGCCTTCTTTTATGACCCTCTAAAGTATTTTGTTTGACCCCTGGGCTAGGCTTCTGTACACCTATCATTTCTTTGAATCCCCATGTTTGCTTGTGCTAAGTATCAGTCTGCTGATTTAAATGAATACCATATTGTCTGTATGCTTTAAACTCCAATATCTTCCTGTAGGGCATACATGATAATTGAAATCCTTTAAAAGTTCATTAGTTAGCAGCAGGAGTTGGTACAATGGATTTTCAGAAATGCCAGTGTATTTATACTATGGATGGAAGATGTCTGTGTTACATTTGTTTTCCTGGTACTTCTAGCAAAATGCTTCTAGGAAAAGTGCAATATTTAGAGTGTATAAACTTGTACGTATTGTAGTTGTGGTTAAGTGTTATTTTCCTATGAATCTGCACATGGGATAAAACCAAACACTAACTGACTGGAAACATGTTCTAAAAAAAAACATTTACATTTTATTTAACTTGAAAGGAGAATTGTAGTTTTAAATCCCATTAGCCCTTTAAATGTCTGAAATGTCCTTTGATTTTCTTAAGCCCAGGATAGGATAGCATTTCATTGTTTACATTTGGCCAATCTGCACTGTACTTTTTAGAGAGCAGCATGTCCCAGCCCAGGACTGAGAATAAAAAAGGCATCAAACATTTCTTTAGATCTGCACTCCAAAGTTAACCAACTGAAATCATATGGAAGGGGGATATTCACATGACTTAGTAAAACATATGCAGTGACTGCCTTTCCCTAACAGCTGGTAATGTGTTATCTCATAATCCCATTTAGTATAGAAATGACCAGTTATAGGTCTTGGCATTGAAATTATTTAGTAGATCAAGTATGTGGAAGAGGTACCTTGTGCGTTTTTTGAATGTATCCTGGTTTGTTGTTATGCTGCTCCCTAAACTGTACAGTGCAGACTGGTTTGGAACTGTGAGAACAGCTCTTAAAACACACGAAAGGAAAGGAAAGGAAAGGAAAAGAAGGAAGTAAGCAGTTATGTTTTTCAAGCTGCTTTTTGTCCCTGAAAATAATAAATAAGCTAATGTGTATTTTAAGTTAATTTATCTCCTAAAGTCTTTTTCCATCAACAACTTAGTACTTATAATTTAGTAGCTGCCTGCCAGCTAAATTATATGATCTTTAGAAATGGCTTTTATATGTTTGGAAGATCCTATTGGTAAAATATCCCTATTAGTGCACCCAGTTGAGCTCAGCTATTGCACTTGAGAGCCAAATGAAGGGGCTATGTGTTCCATGACACGCAATAAATAACTGGGGATTTAGGCTTTGAAATAGTGACAGTTTGTTCTGGCCATAAGAAAGTTTCTGTAACACAACCCATTGCCAGGAAACTCTGCTTCTAGTTAATACTTTTTTTTTAATTATGGCTTTATATCTTTTATGCTTCACTATCTATATATAATCTTTGTTTTGCAATTAAATAGTTAATAAAGAACTGAAGCTGGTCATTGACGGCTTGAATTTCTGCAGGAATCATTCAAAATTTGAGCTGTAGGTGGCCCTGCAGTTAACTGAGCTAGGTGAAAAATCAGTGACCTGAACAGCGACTGCATCCTATTAGATGCAGTCTCTGTTTTGCTATTTAGACCGTTGCGGGTGCTGCAGGTGCTAAATATTATTGCCAGCAGCAGAGAATTCTTCATCCATGTTGTTTAGAAAAAGAATAATGGTTCTCAGAGCACTACAGTCTATATAGCACGGCAGCTTCCTTTGCAGCTCCCCTTGTCTGACAGAAATCTCAGACTGATAAGGGATGAATCATTGCTCTGCTGACACATTTCAATTCTGTAAACAATGATCTTCCTTTAGCAAAGTTGAAATGTAATCATGCTAATGATTTGACAAAGCAGAGTAGAGATACCTTGCTGTCTAGATATACTACCTAATACTAATATTCAATGATACATGACAAAAGAAAAGAAATCGAAAAAAATGTTTAATCCTTACCATAATAGACAAAGACAGAAAATATTGACAAAACCACTGTACATTTACTTTATATCTCCAAGTTATACAGTAATATATATCATTGCTCCCCACACAAAAAAAGAAAAATTATTTGGATTAGTGGTAACGATTAATGTTAAATAATGGGGATGTCCAGATACCAGTGGCGATACTTGGCATTTTCACAAGAACTACCAGGGTTGCAGCTGGGACCTGTATTGTTTTAGAAAAACTGTCACATGACACTTAACAAAAATGCATCAGTAATTGTATCTGTGAGTACTTGGACAAGTACTCTATATATATACATATACACTGAGTGGCCAGATTATTATGAACACCTGACATTTGTAGGCAAATTAGCTATAATTAGCTATAATGTCACGCATAAGTTGCTAGAGGGCGAGACCATTATAAATAGGGAAGCAGGTTGTTTACCACGACAGTAGAAGTGACAGCCTTTGAACGTGGGATGATTGTTGGCGCTCGGAGCCATGGAGCGAGTGTCCGCAAAACAGCAGAATTCATTAAATGCTCTCATTAAATGCTCAAGAGCAGCTGTTGTTAAAGTGTTTAAAGACTGAACTGTCAGCCAAAAATTTGGGTCTGAACATGCGGATTGTGGCCGTCAGCGACTAGTCAATGTTAGGGCAGAACGGAGAGTGGCAAGACTGGTACAAGACAACAGAAGGGCAAAAGTGCAGTATCAGATTCCTCGCATCACCTTTCAACATCTCATGGAGTGACGAGGCTGCCCAACGAATTAATCTCGTGGAGTCATCTCGTGGCCCAACTAAGTACTGATGGGGTAGTCATAATAATCTGGACTTGCCAGGAGAAATTTGGTTACTAATGTACTATTTGCAGGAACTAAATAAATAAAGTTATGTATTGTCAGAAACTGTATTTACTCTTTCCTCCAGACCCAAAGTAATCCCTACAGAAAACAAAAGGGTTGGGTTTTTTAAAGTTTATTATTTAACACAAATTAGATGTAGTATTCAACTAATTTAAACTAATCTTTTTTTTTCCAGCCACCCTCTCAATTATATTACAAAAGCTACTGCAGGTTTCATAGATTGGAGCCTCAAAAAAAAGCAAACCACACTGTTTATCAGAAAACCAGAATCATAAACATGCAAATTTGGAAAAATCATTTTTTTAAAGTTGTGTCTATTTCTTTATTTTGTGCAGCTCAAGATTTTTATGACTAAATAAAATAATATCAATAAAAATAAAATGAAAAAACCTTTCTTTTTCAGCACTATATGAGCTGTCCTGTGAAGTTTACAGACACTTGGGGAACATATCAGGCTGGTATTGGATTGATCCAGATGGAAGTGGGCCACAAGGGCCAATGAAAGTTTACTGCAATATGACAGGTAAGAGACCAAGTCAATTAATTTTTCACTGTTTGTTGTCTTTTTATGGATTACAAGAGGTGTCCACTAAAAAGGAGTATAAGTATTTTCTTGCTGCTCTATAAATTATGGATCTTCAGTATTCATGATATCCAGGAGATATATTCAGTGATCTGGTGTACAATAGTCTTGATCGAAAATGTGGGATAATCTAATAGTGGTTTAAAGGGAATCTTTGTGCACTGCCAAAAAATTAGTTTAGTTTCGTTTTAAATTTGGATTTGTGTTATTTCGTTTTTCGAGATTCGGGTGTGAAAGTCAATTCGGATTCGGACGAAATTCGGTAGTGGTAGTTCGTTCGCACGTTCGTTTAGTTTTCGGTTCTTATTCGTTTCGTTCATTCGTTCGTTCATTTGCAGCAAAGTGACATTTGAGGGTGGAAAATGTTTTTCTTCAACGAACGAAACGAATAAGAAACGAAAACGAAACGAACGTTCGAACGAACTACCGCTACCAAATTTCAGAAACGGAAATTCGGATTCGTTTGCATTCGTTATATCTGTAATTCGGATACATCCGAATGTCTGAATTTCCGAAAATGCGTCCAAATTTCGATTCGGAACTAAACGAATCGCACATGTCTAATGCTGAATAATAGAAGCCTTCAGAAAAGAATGTTGCGTTAAAGTGTAACTATAGCCAAATCATAATGTTTAACTTTGGATCTCGTGAAAGAGTTAGAACCTCTGTAACCTTTTCTATTGCAATTTGGGCCGTTACTGAGGAGACCTGCTCACTTTATTTGTCACAGTGACCATTGTCATATGCCATTGTCACTGGCATAGTAAGTCGTGGAATATCTAATAATTTATGCTTATCTTTGGAACAGGAGGTGGAAATCTGTTTTGGTGACAGCTGTCAAGATAAGAATTTCCCATCCCATTGTAGAGATTTCCTATCATTTCCTGTTGTGTCTCCAGGGCAGAAAGTAAAGGGAAAAAAAATCTTAACATGGGTTTTAACCATATCTTACTCTGTTCAAAACAAAAATAAAGTTTGGGCTAAAGATATACTTTAAGGTGCCCATTGCCTATAAACACTACTACAGAGTAAACTGATGTATAGGTAAAAGTCCATTCATCCTCAGGCATCTGCCTCTCATAACCATTTTATCAAGGAAAAAACAAGAGCTTTAGGAAGGTTGCTATTTCTCTCAAGAAACCATGGCCAGCAGAATTTGCTGATACCTCCGGGATGTGGATATTCTGACTGTTTCCAGACTTCACATTGGAAACTGGAATACCATAAAGACATATGCTATTTCCTCCCACCTGCTGACAGTGATGAGATTGCTTAGGACATGACAATGCCAGGACATGTAAAACTGAGATCGTCTTTTATCTTTTAATGTATTAAGAGTCAAGCTACACACAGACACAAGATAACTAAAGAAGAAATAAGCAAATGTTCAATAAATGTTAATCTAAGCATGCTCGTTCTTATGAAACAAAATAGATGAATGTGCCATGCATTTTTTAAAGAAAAACTATGCAGATGTATTTTAAAAATATATAGTTATGTATTAAATTAAACAAAAAAAAGAAAACAAATACATTTTCCATTTATTTTGTGTAAGAGTCTGATTTTATTTAGATATCAGCCTTCTGCAATCCCCTACACAGCAACACTGAGAATGGAAGAGGGTGGGCCAGTAGTATCAGTTAATCAGGCATTGCTACAGTTTGCATGTGCTGACAATAAGCATGTTGAATGGTGAAGAGAGCATACAGACCTCTTGCAGAAATGGCTGGCTTGCAAGATTGGATCAGCAGAATTATAAATCCGTAGGCATTTAAAGCTATTTCTTTAAATTTATTTTAGCTCTGTGTTCATCTGTTTGCTTGGCGTTCAGCTTTATGGAGTTAATTATAGTTATACCACTGCTAAGTAGTATGGCATGACCTTTATGAGTCTCAAAAGAGAGAGAGAAAGATCAGAAGAATGACCCACAAACCTTAAAGAAGAGTTATTTAACAAAACTAAAAGATAAACAGCCCAGCACTTTCTAAAAATAAGCAGTTTTTGCTGCTTTAGTCATATTGCCCCAGCAAAAGCCCGGCTTTTCCAGGTCGAATGGCAGCCAGCATTATTCAACCCAATTTCTGTCACCTTTACAAATGACCAATAAGGTGACAAAATTGGCCAAAAGACCCATGAAAAAAGGTATGTCTACAGTAATGTTTCTTCTTCAATAGGTTGCCTGAGGGAGGAGGAGGGCTGGAATAACTTCCACAGGTGCCTTAAGTGATCACTACCACCCTCCTGAACCCTTCGCCATGCATCCTAGCTTCTGCTCCCTCTTCTAGGCACCCAGATGTGTGTCAGCAGCAAGAGTGGAGGATAATCAATGAACATCCTTCTTCTGAACAACCTTGCAGTGAATGAAGCCAAAAGCAACACGCATTTTGGCACTTACAGTCATTCCCCCTGCCACAGTGGTAAGTGCTTGATTAGCTTTATTGGAGTGCAGAGGTGACATTAGGGGGTTGATTTACTAACCTTATAAACACACCACGAACATGTATACACCTCTGTAGTGTGTTCCCTTCCAGCATGATCTATGGGTGGAATCTAAACACCTTTGTAGTGTGTACACACCCAGCAGGTGTGTTGTGCAAAGCCCTGCATGAATTTGCAAGGTGATGTTGTGTAAATTAGCTCTATGTTGTGTTGCTTGCGTTGATGAATGCAGGAATGTAAATGCATGAGCTAACCATTTTTGTCTAAACTGTGAAGCAGCATTATATATGCATCATGTGCATGATTTTTCCATGTATGGCATTAGTGGAAATATGCTTTTAGAGACTTTTTGGTTGATAAATACGTTTTGCTGTGTAAAAATCACACGCAGCTAGTGCGTGCGTGTGTTTAGGTTAGTAAATCACCCCCCAGGAGTCAAATAGGCCCTAATGCCTCCTGAAAGAGAAACTGCCTCCTGAAAGAGAACCTGTCACTTCCGTTGTGCTATCACCTGTGTGATAGCAAAAACGTTAAGTAAAATTAGTTTTTTTTCAGAATTTAAAGTTGAATAAATTCAATTGAAAAAAAACATTGTTCAATGTCAATTGCGTCACACAATAGGTATGAGTGAAACAAATGGCAAACGCACTCATCAATTCATAACTAGTTTTAAAGCAAGGTCCACATGGAAAGGCTTTACACAGTACAAAAAACTAAAATTTCCCAGCACACTCACAAGCCAGCCTGCAAAATAAATTACACTGTCTAACTCCTAGGATTAAAAACAGAGGTTTTAGTTGCACAACTTTTGCAAAATATCTGGAAGCCGCAATGCCTCATCAAGGCCCCTCTGTGTAGTGTGATCCTAACTCTAACCTATAAGATCCTCCATCTTGGAGCATATATAGCAAAGGATGAATAGGGTGCAGGTTTGCCAGGAGGTTGGGCTACCTCCTGGCAAACCTGCATCCAAATTATCCTTTGCTATATATGCTTCAGCAGCAGCAGTTTTAAAGCTTAACATGATTGGTATCAACCTCATTTTTACATTTCACAAAACAAAATGGGTATTATATTGTGTTTGTGTGCATTAAATTATTTTGAATGCATTTTTACTGAAAACGTAAGCTATTTAAGTATTGGTACTGCACAAGCAGGTAAAGTTCTGCAATAATGTTTACTGAAATCCTGGCAGTCTACATTGCTGACCTGCAAATTATTGCATTCATTTTATTGAGTGTTGCTTCACCTTAAGATTGCACAGCTGATATAATTGCTGGATGTAATTGTTTGTTTCAATGTGTTTTAGTCTATTCTGCATTTCATAATTCTGCCAGTAGTGCAGTAAAGCATCTGGTGCCATATTCCTGAACGCATAATTTTAATACAAAACATTTTAGCTTGGCAAATTTCTGGCACCATGTAGATCATTGTCTGCCAGCAAGATGTTCAGAGCTGAATAAAAAGAAGAAAATTAAGCTATTAGCCATGCATGTAAAAAGTGCTCCAATGACTGTGACTGGGAATAATTTAGGGTATTTTGTCCCTGACATAATTGATCTGAGGTTGTGAGAAGGAACATTTTTTTTATGCAAGTAAAGGTCATTATGAATGTAGTTCTAAAATGAAAACGTAGAAATAAATATTTACTCTAGCATTGCACACAGAATAGAGTGCACATTTAATTGTTTAAGTGTTAAGTGTTGAATGATTGGTTAGGAGATCATTTGCTGCACATTAGCCATGCATACATGGATACTTATCAAGTGAGGAATGACTGAAAGATCATTTACTAGATATTTGCTGCACATTGGTATGACATTGACCAGTTATAAAGCAGAGTGATAAAGAACATTTGCCATTTATTGTTAGTATGGTGTCAATATGAATAAATGCATTTTCTATGGCCTTTGTTTTAACTATGAATAAACTGTATTGAAAATACATTAACCCAAGTAACAGGACAAGCAAAGCATGTAATTTAAAAATGTTGTTCGCACACAGGTCAATTAAGTGAATAGTGTTACCTTAGTTTCCCTAAATTTCCAATGTTGGCTTCTTTCACAGGGTCGTCTAAACTTTTAAATAAGGAAATCTGTCATGACTGCTGAGATGCCTAGCACGAGTAGTTCCGGTATCAGGAAGCCGGGCAGCGCGTCATTACACGCTGCCCGGTTTCGCGATTGACCGGGAAGCGGCTCCATGCTCTCTCATCACTTGTGGTGAGAGATCATGGAGCCGATGTCCAGGCCAATCAGGAAGCCGTGCAGCGTGTAATGACGCGCTGCCTGGCTTCCTGATTGGTCGGGAAGCTGGCCAATCAGGAAGCTGGCCTCGTGAGGTAAGGTTACCTTACCTTAGTATGTGCAGTGCGCTTTGACCTGCAGCTTAATGGCAACTGGCACATTGCGAGGGGAACATTGTACTGATGGAATGGTAGGGTCAAGTTCAAAATGAACCTCTCCTGGAACAGATAATATGGAGCCATCAAACACATCACT